CAAAATTGAGGTCAGATGGTGGTGGTGCATACATCTCAAAGGAGTTTGAAACATACCTCACTTTTAAGGACATCAAGTGGTACGACCAGAATTCCCACTGGACTCCAGGCACTAACTTATACACACCTGTCCCTGTCTATGTCTGATCTCATCCCACACATCAGTCACTGGACCCCACTCGGAAAACCCGTCATCCCTCTAACTGAGCCCCATTCCTGTTTTAGTCAAATGACCTGTCACGATTCAGACTCCACTCCCACTCCATTTCCTGTTATGGTTTATGACCTGTCATGATTCAGACTCCACTCCATCACATTCCATTCCTAATACCAAATTTGGTGTTTACTTATCTCGTTTTATGTTTTGCTAGTTTCATTTTCATTATTACTGGATTTGGTATGTTATTCATTCCACAGTCTATACATATAGTCTGGCAGATGTTGTACATACAATCCAGTCAGAAAATCAGCTTAGATTCTCCCCAGTAATCTAGTACATTTTCTGCTCTAAACTCCTCTTTGAATTACACTGCTCTCACTAGTCATGGGCTTTGACACATCTATCTCTCAACCTCCAACTTATCTTTCTCGACTCCCTGACCTCTCAACCCACGACCTCTGACCTACGACCCCTCGACCCATGAACTTCACCCAGACTCCCTGGGATTCCCATCCACCCATTTGAAATTGGACAACACGATCTCGCGAGGGCACAACCTATAAGCTGGAGCCAAGTCCTACTGGATTTCCTGTGGGTTTCTCCGGAAACCTGCCGTGTATGTACCCGTATGTCATCTATTTTATCACTTTGTTTCTTTATTTAACCTTTAAGGGACATTAGTCAAATAGTAGAGGACTTGATCCTTTAACTTTGGCTCAAGAGTTTAAGATGTCATTGTTCTGATAACATAAGATTCATTGCTAGCTCTAAACCCTAGAATTAGCATATCTTAACCCTAAGTAGCTAGGTGGCATTGCCATGGAAACCAGCAGAGTCATGGATTATATACTAATAAGGTATCTCTGGCCCTTATAGTATGCAATCTACCCCATCTCCTTGACTACATATTGAGGGAGATGACTCATTAGTGAGTCATATCAATATGACTATGCAATAAGTTATGATCAGAGCTATGACTCAGATACATAGTCATAGCTGGTTGGATGACTCTGAAATACACTTATGAGTCAAGTATGGGAAATACTGACTCATTCTCCTAGTCACATTACTTAGTAAGCAGGATCCTGGACTAGTATAAATACAGGCTCAAATCATGTATTTAGAAAATAATTCAATATCACATCACTTGCTTGTTTAGCTACACTTGCCTACTAGGTCCATACATTGTGCTTAAGTTGAGTACTCTCCTTGCCAATCTGTTGACCGTCTTGTTTCCTTGAGTTGAGCTTTCTTCTCGGAAAAGGGACATGGGCACATAGTTGAATAAAAGTGGATACTGATTTAATTGACAAAACTCCTACATACAGATTAATTTGAATTTGAATCTCCTTTCTCAAGCTACACTACTTAACTCAATTAAAAAGAGTTTACAAGTATGCTAAATAGTAATAATACATTACACCTTAACATCAAGCATGAAAAGATGAACACCTACACACCACAAGAAAATGGTGTCTCTGAAAGGATGAACTGCACCCTGTAGGAAGTGCAATGTCAATGCTCAAAGATGCCAAGTTGCTCAATTTTTACTGGGCAGATGCTATTGAATATGCTGGACAAATATGAAATGTGGTCCCTACATGAGCCTTATCAAATTCCACCCCATACAAAGCCTGGTCTGGAAACTTACCAGATATTAGTCATTTTCAAATCTTTGGCTACACAGAATACAGTATGTGCTAATCCCAGAAAATAAATGATGGAAACTGGATGGGAAGACTATTAAATGTGTCTTCATTGGTTATGCAAGGAATAAAAAGGCTTACTCCTGTATTGAATGAACCATATGAAGGTTGTGATGTTATATTTGCTGAAGAAATGGCCACAATGTCTGAAAGAGTCATTGACCAGGTAGTCCCAAGCTCAAATATCACAGAAACCGCACAAGTGGTCACCCCAGTTGAATCTATTGAGGACAACAGTGACATACCAGACCTAATGGAAGTTGAAGATTCAAATGATGAAGAGGGCAATAAACTACATGATAGTTACCTCAATGAGTCAGATGATGATCAAGAGGAAAGGTAACAACTCACATTCTGTAAAATCTATGCAGTTCCCCAACAGCATGAGAAAATCCACAATTAACATCCCCATCTGTGGTGCATGAGAATTCACAACTGACCTGTATCTGAAAAGCTCCAATACATGATGATAACAATCATTATTTTGTCACTTCATATGGCTCTACAAATCAAGAGTCAGTAAGTGAAACTCAGGCAACTGTGTTATGATCAATCCTAAATGAGCCAGAGACATATGAAGAAGCAATGTCTTGACCCAATGCACCCTGAATCAAATGGGTGTCAAAACAGTGTTTCTCAATGGCAACCTTGAGGAAGAGATATACATGAACTTACCTCCTGGTTTTTGCAAGCCAAATACAGTCTGTAGACTGAAGAAAGGCCTGTATGGTCTCAAGCAGGCAAGTCATGAATGGTATAAATGACTACATGCTGAATTTGAAGCTTTGGGTTTTACCCATTGTCAATCAGACCATGGAATATTCACCAAATGCAAAAAAGATATTCTTATAATCATTGCTGTATATGTTGACAATCTGCTACTTTTGTCAAATTCTATGGATGTGGTTAAAAAGGACTGAAAAAGGAAGTTTAAAATGACTGACCTAGGAAATGCATGTTGGATCCTCAGAATGGAAATAACTTGAGATTGCAAGAAGTGCACACTCTCTGTATCTCAGTCCCACTATGTCCTTGATGTTCTTGAATGATTGGGATTTTGGATTGTGTAATGTATTAGCCTTATTTTAATACTATTTTCTGAAAAAGGAGTCCAATGCTCTATCAAAATGTGCAAATACTCAATTCACTGCAAGGTAAAATAATTTAAGTATTTGATATTAATCAGTGGCAGCCTAAATAGACTTAGAACCCCTGAAGTCAAGAGTTTACTTGAATATATGCACCCAACTTCGCAAAGAAGGTTTTGAGAGCTGCTTGTGCAAGCTTGTTCTTTTTCTGTGATAACAACTACTAAAATAAGAATAACAATTTACTGATTCCGAAGCTAGATTTAACTTCAATGCTAGCTAGTTTATATGTATTTTATACTATTTGTCAAACAGTAAAAATATTTATAAACGGGTCAAAAGATTAGATATAGAATAAAACACTATTTGGCTAATATATGCTTTATTTACACTAACCTACAAGGTCTACTGTGATATTAACTTACCAGGATCTTAATGTAGTCTTAAGGATTCTACAAGGTCTACTGTGATATTAACTTATCAGGATCTTAATGTAGTCTTAAGGATTCTGCAAGGATATTCTCAGTATTTGTTTATGTGAATATGCTTTATTGATTTACAATAAATGAACAAAGGAACGGGATTATTTGCAATGTAATAAACAGTCAAATTACTCAACTAGAGGTGACTGAAGTCTTAAACTACAAATAACAATGTAGAGAAAACTAATAATCAAATACTCAATTAAGAGATGACTATAGTGTAAGATTATTTATATATTATTAGTTGATAACCAACAACTCTAACTGAGGTGGAAATAATATATAAAAGATAGCCAACTATTCAGTTAAGAAGTGGCAAGGGGGAACAAAAGTCAACAACTCAGATTGAGGTGACAGGGGAACAGCAGATCAGTCAACAGCTCAGATTGAGGTGACAAGGGATCTGATTGGGCCAACAACTCTGATAGAGGTGGCAAGGGTTTCCAACAGCTCAGATAGAGGTGGAATTAGATGTCCAACTGCCCAGATTGGGGTGGAGTAGCCTGCTTGCTGCAGTGACACACACAGATGTGGTGAGATGATATGATATTTGGATTGATTGGTTTTATTCAAGGCTGGAGCTGAGCTCCTTATATACATTTTAGTCTGAGACATTTAGAAGATTCTAGAAGATTTAATGATGTCATTCTGGGAGGAATGATGTCATTTAGAATTTTCTAGAATTTTCTAGAGCATTGTGGAAGATTCTAACTACTTCTAAGACACTATAGAATATTCTTGGCATAATAGAACTTACTGGAATCTTATAGAATATTCTACAATATTCTATCTATTATTAGTATCTACTATCTACTATTCCTTTGGAAGGCACTGGAATATTCCAGGGAATTTCCGGTTTTTGCTGTAGTAGCATATATGATTATATAATGCTCTCGCGTCTGTGCGCGCTGTAATGACACCCTTCGCGTCTTGTGACTGTCACGCGTTGTGACTGTCGCGCGCCTGTGTGACCGTCGCGCGCCTTTGTGACCGTCGCGCGCCTCTGTGACCGTCGCGCGCCTCTGTATATTATTATATAATTATTATATTTACTTTTAGTTAGTTATAAATATAATATTTTATTATAATAATATAAAAATATATATATTTCGCCTTGATAATGCGCGAGTATTTCAAATCGCGTTTTGTCGGCGTCGGAGTTTGAAATATCATGTGAATGTCACATGATTACTCGCGCGTTGTGAATAAGCGCTGAGTCGCCGACATATTAATCAAAAAAGAATAAAAAGTAGAAATTCAATTACTTGCTCAATTTATTAGATAAAAATACAAAATAAATTGTATAAATTCAGGATAAATCAAACAAATATTGTACAATTTAATCGTCGCAATATAATTACATTTGAATATTTGTTTTCGCAATTTGTTAGGGGAAATTGTTTAAAAAATTGGAAAAAACTTAGAAATACATAACAGATTGCAAACCAGCCTTAACACCCATTGAGCTGAAAGTTATTATTAATAAAGTTACAGCACCAGAAGTTGAACCAGAAGCTTACCAGAGTGGAGTTGGTGTAAGAATTACATAAGCAGGGTGAAAATATTGACCTGAGCTGGATTTGAACCAGCGACCACTAAGTTTGGATTACATGTCTAGTCCTCTTAACCCCTGAGCTATCAGGCTATTAAGAGTAGTTCTATTAAGAACCAGTTACTACTGAGATGATTAGCCATCAGTAAGATATTAATATATCCAGGTCAACCATTACTCATTCAACACTCCCACCCAATGGTTGAACTGGTTAGGTAAACAACCACTACACTCCAGGTTCGATCTTGGGCAAACTGGTTAGGTAAGCACCTCACAACAACCCAGGAGTTGCTACCATGTAAGAATTACATAAGCAGGGTGAAAATATTGACCTGAGCTGGATTTGAACCAGCGACCACTAAGTTTGGATTACATGTCTAGTCCTCTTAACCCCTGAGCTATCAGGCCATTATGGGTAGTTCTATTAAGAACCAGTTACTACTGAGATGATTAGTCATCAGTAAGATATTTATATATCCAGGACAACCATTACTCATTCAACAGTTGGGTCCTTCATGTATGTATTCCATGATTGGGACTTGCCCACTAGACAGGTTGATCATTGGAATGGGTTTGAAGAAGATTGTGAGTGTCGTGAATGTGCAGTGAATGAGCATATTGAAATACAATGCAATGTGTCTACATCAAATGCCTGTTTTGGTCCACTACAGTCCACAACCTCCACATACATTTGTGTATGTGGCATCAAAAGCATTATATGCTGTAAGTCTGAGTTAGAAATTTGTTCCTCAGTTCTCATTTACATCTTATGAGACTGAGGTTTGTTGGATTAGTAAGCATGCAATAGTCCCTTTCGCGACTGCAGACAAAAGATGTGCTGTTCCATTGTTCCACTATTTCCTTTGTTAGATGAAACATTTCTAGTACATTCTATACAATTGTGCCAGATCTCAGCGGTAAAGTAGGACTTCCCGATATTGTTGACCTCAGTTTCCCTCAAATCTCATATTGTATCCACTTCTTCTTCAGATCACACTCGTAACAGGTGGAAATTCCAGGATAGGTTACCAAACAGTCCGCCATCTCCTATTGAAAAATGCGAAGGTCTATCTCGCCGCTCGGTCTGCCTCCAAAGCTGCCGAAGCCGTCGCAAAGCTGAAGGAAGAGACGGGCAAGGAAACTATAGTGTTGAAACTTGACCTGGGAGATCTATCTAATGTTAAAAGGGCAGCTGCAGAATATCTTCAGAAAGAAGAGAGGTTGGATATTCTGTTCAAGTAGATGGGATATTCCGCAAGATGTTGACAGCTCGTCTTCTAGGGGTGTGATGGCACCCCCATTTTGATCAGCTCACCAGTCAGGGGTACAGCCTTCGTACGGGACGCAATTTTAGTTTCACATCTGAGGCACTAATATATTATTCAGAATTTGGTGCGCACTAATCATGCTGCCTAACAAACCAGGACACTAATTTCAAATACGTTAGGCACCAATGTCTTGGGACACTACTATTTCACGGTAATTTTCCATTTTATTCAACACCAGCAACACCCCATAAGATACATCCATTATTCCTGGATAGATGCCTCTCTTCCCCGCCTTGCGACGCTCTACCACTGCCCGCGGTATTAGAGCTCGGGTGATCAACACATCTTCATTAGCACATGTCTGGGCCCCTGGAAACGGCCTTGATTGGTCTGTCGTAAAAGGGGGACCTGATGCCAAGATCGCCAAGTGGGAACGTCGAGCATCCCTGGAAATGGAGCTAATTGGCATCTGTATGGGATCAGCAAGATAGTGCGAAATTCTAATTGGCTCTACTTCCTTTGAAGCCATTAATTCTTAACTGTAGGGAAATATGTACAGTTTGAAGAGATATCACGGAGATGAGGTTATTTCTATTGCGCTTCATCCCGGAGGTATTCGGTCTGGTCTTCAAAGGTACGTGCGGTACTCATATTAACCATTCTTTAAACTCACATGTGGGCCTTGACAGACATGGGTCGGAGAAGATTTTGCATCCCATTGAGTACGTTCTGTCCCCTTCCATTTTTCACATTACCGACTCCCTTTTCAAATTCCAGGTTTGGACCACTAAGTCAACTTTGGGCAGGGACAATGCCGGAGGCAGAAGAAACGGCCGTCAGGGCTGTGAGTCCTTTTTTCCCTCCAGTTCCGCATCATAATAGCGGTGTTAATTGGCCGGGACTTTAGTGCCTTGTTCCAATGTGGCTTCGCAAGATGAGCTCAAGGCATATATTGAAGACCAAGTTAAGGTGTTCGAGTCATCTGCCTCATAGTAAATCCTTCGAGATGCTTAGGATACTCTCAGGTGGGACATTGTTTCTTTTTATATTACGCCTTTTGGTCAAGTTCTGTGGCGTTCATTTATCTTATGCATCTTATGCCAAATTACTATTCCATCATTATATTTACTTCGAGCTCCCATGGTATTATTCTGAAGCCTTCAAAGGCTTTCAAGGTCTTGACATACCTTGATGTCCAATAAGACTGCTGACGACTCTCGTACGCGTCAAGCAATGTTAAGAATGACAATCTGTTGAAATACGCATGTCTCTATCACATAATCAAGCTGTATTCACATGTACCTACATATATGTATAAACTCTTAAGAACAATGGAATATTAAAAATAGTATGAGTTGGCTTATTGTAATACACAATCTACAAGGGGGTAATAGTCTTGTAATAAAAGTATTTGTTTGTCAATCAATGTGTCAGTTAGTGAATCACCTTCTGACATGATAGGTAGGGTGCTAGTTTAGGTGTACACTGGTTCTGGCATGCATTAACCTCAGTCCACAATTAGCATCTTCCTATGAAAAAGTGAAGAAATGGGTGAACCGCCCCTAGGAAAATTTATCACCAATTCCAACATGGAATTCTAAATAAGGAAGACAATGAGACTGTGAAGCAAGGTAAATGAGACAGTAGGAAGGGAACAAAGGAACTCAAGCTTGTGCGATGCTCAAAATCCAACACAATCAAGGGCCAAGTTATTAGAATGAAAGAATAGAGGTGTTAGTCATGTGTGGTTTGGACCCATATGTACCCACATGTATTTACTATAGCATTATCTGTGTGTTGGCAATCTACCACTGCCAGTCATTGAGTTTGAGTCTGAGTCTGAGTTTGGTCACACTTCTGTGTCTTTCTATCATCTATTCCAACAAGAGGGGATTTGGGGAACTAGTGACCCTGGTGGACAAATAGGAGGATATCTGAAAACTATTACAGCTGTTTGCATTATGTAAGGCACGCGCTTGTATTAGTTTTTGCAGAACGCGTCCCAACTTGCGAACACGATATCTCCACGAATACACCACCAAATCACATAAAGACTAGATAGTTTGTCTTGTAATTAAATATACTAGTGCTTTCCAATATTACTTTCAAAAAATTCTCCTCACATAACATTTGTCTTTATGCTAGTGTACATGCAGCTCACAAACTCATTTGCAGGCTGTACAATGGACTGTAGAACCTGAACTTGTAATATAGTGTTTATATAATATATATCTAGTGTTACCAACCTTCCCCCTTTTTGTTAGGATACACACACAGGCCGGGTTTCCGGAGAAACCCGCGGGATATCTGGTAGGACTTGGCTTCAGCTTATAGGCTGCGCCCTCGCTAGATTGTGTTGTCCAATTTCAAATGGACGGACGGGGATCCCGGGGAGTCCGGGCGGGGTTCATGGGTCGTAGGTCGTAAGTCGGAGGTCGTGGGTCGTAGGTTGGGGGTTGTGGGTCGTGAGTCGAGTTTGGTTGAGAGAGGTAGATGCACCGGAGCCCGTGGGCTCCGACTAGTGCGAGCGATGTGAATCGAGTAAGGTTTTAGAGTGGAAAATATTATTAGATTACTGGGGGGAATCTAAGCTAATTTTCTGACTGGATTGTATGTACAACATCTGCCAGTTTATATAGACCGTGGAATGCATGACATACCAAATCCAGTAATAACAAAATGAAACTAACAAAACATGAAACGGGAATAGTAAACACCAAATTGGTGTTAGGAACGGAATGGAACGGAGTGGAGTCCAAATTGTGACAAAGCATAACCCATAACGGGAAATGGAGCGGGAGCGGAGTCCTAAATCGTGACAGGTCATTTGACTAAAACGGGAATGGGGCTCAATTAGAGCGGTGACGGGATTCTAAGCGGGGACTGGTGACTGATGCGTGGGACGAAGACGGACATAGACAGAGATGGAGTCCGGGGGAAGTCCGGTGACTGATGTGTCGTAATGAGGTCGAACGTAACGAGTCTTGACGTGACGGAGTCCGGGCGGGAAATCCTATAAACAGACGATTGGTGCTTGTAGCGTGTGGGGGTGTACAGGTTGGTGCCCGGAGTCCAGCGGGATTGTCTGGTCGTAACAGTATCCTCCCTTTATGCCGAAGTCCCAAAGAGGCTCTAGACCTACATAAGGTTCTTGTCGGCTATGCGCATGTGTCAAAAGTCATGTCGGTTACATGTATGTGTCAAAGAGTCATGTGATCTGGAAGGTAAGGTTCAAACGCGGCGAGCCTATATAAAAATTTGAAAAAATAGAAATTTCTTCTTCTTTATTACCCCCATCTTCGCAAAAATGGGACCAAAACCAACGCCCAGAAAAGCCATGCCAGCCGCGGGGCCCTCCATGGGCACCCCATATCGGGCGCCTTGGAGTGCCACGCAACTGTTAGCGCGGCATGAAGAGCAGCGCCGATTACGAGAGGAAGCAGAGAGGGAGGCCAGGGAGGCTGAGGAGGCCCTGGACCAAGAGTACCAGGCGGCATTGGCCGCAGAGGAAGAGGTGGCGAGGGAGAGGGAGCGTGAAGTGGAGGAGGCTGTGCGAGTGGCTGCGGAGAGTGCCCAGGTGGCTGTGGAGAAAGCCCGGTTGGCTGCAATTGCTGCGGGAAAGGTAAGTCCCAAAAACTTCAACTCGTCATTTTCCTTTTACTGACTTGTCATTTTCAGCGCAAGGCGACAGAGGTGGAGTCGGAGTCCAAGGGGGAGCCAGAGAGCCCCCAAAAGGTAAGCCTCAGGTCCGTGGGATAGCCGTGGAGACTAACCATAATCAACAGAAGGCAAGGAAGGCGGCGCCAGTCCGTCTTCCGATGCGGA